GGTGTTAGTGTGACTTGTGTGAGTGTCTGGTCCTTGCATGGTGAGTAAATCCTAGGGCCAGAGCACCTAGAAAAGCACACAGGGGTGAGCATGAGTCTCACAGCCCCTTCACCTCTGTGGCTCAGGCTGGCCTCTTCTGCACAGCTTCTGCCCGAGGGCCCGAGGGCCCAGAGCAGGCCCCTGCCCGAACCCCAGCCTGGCCTGCGAGCGTGAGGCCCCTAGCCCCCAACAGGGCTGGCCAGGTCTTCCCTCAGCTCTAAGGCTGGGGGGAGGGGGAGAAGGCACTGGACTTCCTGCAAGCCCCTCCCTTTCCAGGGTCCAGCCCTCCTCTCCTTTGAGGCCTCACTCCCAGGAGTCTCCCTCTTGCCCCTTCCCTGGTTCACTGGCCCCTCTGGATTCCCACAGCCCTTGGTCTGTCCCTCTCGTTAGCCACCTGTCACTTTGTATGTGCCATGACTTCGGCTTGGCTCTGTCACGGTTTATTTTTATCATCCTGTTCTTTGATATTTTCCCAGCCTTTTGTGAAGGAAATTTCCAAACCTACAGCAAAGTGGAAACAACTGTACAATGAACAGCCTTGTCTCCACTACCTGGATTTTGCAGTTAATATTTAGTATCTGACCATGGTTTTTAACATTGATCTATCTAGTGCACTTGCTCTACTCTCTCTCTCCCTCTCTGTCCATGAATCCATCCTTAATTTTTGTTGCATTGTAAAGCAAATTATAGGTATTAGTCTATTTCACTAAAACCCCTTCATCTGCATATCTTAAACTAGGGACCAATACTTATTAAGTTGTTTTTCTGAAATATGACAAAAGTGTATCATTTCATGAGTTCTGACAAAAGTACACAACACATGTGTGACTCCAACCCCCGTGAAAACACAGACCACTACACTGGTTTCCAGAAAAATCCGTGCTAGACCCTTGTTCAGAAAATCTTTCTCCTGCCACCTGAAGGCAGTTAATATTCTGATTTTCCTTCCATAGGCTAGTTTGCTGTGTAAAAACATCCCCGTAACGGACTCGTGTGATATGACCGCTGTTTGGTTGATGTACTAGGCTCAGTGGTTTGCAGATTCATCCCTTCTGTGTGTTTGTGGGTATGCTTGGGGCTTTCTCGCCCACTGAGGCAGGATGTTGCTGGCACCTTGTCATTCTTGTTCCTGTATGTGATGGACCCAGAGTGAGTGTCTGCAAAGAACAGACAGGGCATATCCATGGTGGCACATAGTAGGACTCAGGGCAAAGGAGGGCTTTCCTCTAAGATCCAGTGGGCAGGGTGTCAGGTAGACCCTCTGAGTGGAGTGCGTGCAGGCTGTGCTGGGCAGGAGGAGCCTGCAGAAGGAACGCTGTGCAGTGCAGAGACATGCCTGCAGCCAGTCTGTTAGCTACTGTCCCTCTACTCCACTATGATAAAGTTACCATTTGTCCCATCCATCTCTCTCCCACAGATAACTCCCGTAGATGGCTGATCATGTATCTGTACACAGCTATCTAAATATGCTTTTCAAGGATGTTTTACATTAATGGGAGCATGCAGTACATAACGTTTTCCAACCATGAGCATATATTCCATTCTACACATGGAGGAAATTTCTTTCACTCGTCTCCCTGGTCAATATTCTGGTTGTTCCTAACATGTGGCTACAGCAGGCTGTG